TTATTTTTTTTTAATTCGATTGTATTTTGCAATGACTCTGTATTCATATTATTTATAAATTACCTACTAAATGCACACACTAAAAGATATTGTGTAAGATAATGACTTCACAATAAGAACATCAAATTATAACTAAAATGTAGTAAAACCGTGTATTGAGCTTTTATTTGTTTTGCGGATCAATAAACAAATCAAATCCTATTCTGTATCTTCCATTATTAATATCGCTATCTTTATCTATCACTAAAAATCAATAATTATTCTTCCAACACATTGAACACATTTCTTTGAATCTATCGAATGATACATCAGTATTTACATGATCATATACATGTCGTAAGTTTAGGGTATCTTGCTTGAAAAGAACGATTAAATTAGCATTATCACGAATTAGATGCTAATTAGATGGTACATGTGAATATGTTTGACATAAGTAAAACGAATCAATACTTTTATGTCGTACCATAGTAAAATATGCTTTCATAAGATCTTGTTTATCACATGCTACATCATCAAATATAAATATAGAATTTGGTTTTGCTTCATGCGGCTGCAAAAGACTGTTTTCTAAACCACTAAATGCAAAATAGCTCAAACCTTTTATGGGTTTTACAAGCATTTCCATTTGGGTTGATATAAAGACTTTGAATAAATGTATAAATTTTCAAATCCAAGTCCATTCATCTGTTCAATAAGATTAATAATTAGGTTAGTTTTACCACAATTGCTTGGACCTACAGTTAAACATCGAATGGATGAAGGTAATAAATCACCATGTCTTCGATTTTGGTTCATAGAAATATCAAAATCACTGATATTTATTGGAAGTTAACTTTTTTGTTTTATTACTCGCATGATGACGAACAACTAGCAACTGAAGCGTAACGCAGAGGTTTTTAATTTTTAAATGTCTACAAAGTCTCTGTTTGTAAACGCTTCTTCTGAATGCAACGATCTGAGTTTCAATTACCTCTCAACTATAGGTATCACTTTTCAATTAATGAACCTCTGATGGGAAAATAAAAGGTAGATATGCTAGTAAACACTATTTATTATAAAACTTAAAAATTATAAAAGAATAAATTAACACTAAATAAAAGAAAAAATTAACACTATAAAAAATAAAAAATAAACACTAAAATAAAAAATAAACACTAATAAAAAATTAAAAATTAATATTATTTATTAAGTTGTCGCAGATGCGTTCTTCTTCCACCTGTTTATCGAGAATGGAGGTGATGGCTTGACGCCTCTTTTTAATTTGAGCCAATTCTCGGTGCATCCGAGCCATCACCTCCTCTTCTTCGATTTTAAGATTTTTCAAAATTTCTTGGGCAAAGTACGTCTAAGTCGCTCGGCTTTCTCTTCCCATTTTCTTTTAATCCCCCGAAGCTCCACCCGAAAATCTTCCTCCTCAATCATTTGCCTAAACTTCATTTCGGGTTGAGTGGGTTGTTGTTGTGTTTCGTGATGTTCTTCTTCCGCCTCCTCCTCCTCATCCACCTCAACCCTAATGAGGTTGAAGTTTTTTCTTCCTGCTCCGACGCCCCTAGTCGGTTGCCCAGGAGCAGGAGCAGGAGCATGAATAGTGTTCATCGCTGGTTTAATAACTTTACCTTGATGAACGATAATTTTTGGTTCCAAAATTGTGAAATCTTCACCTACCCAACAACTCTTCAAATTCCTTTTGACCCGCTGGGGTCTTTTCGGGGGCAGATGTTAAGAGATCGATAATGATCTGCAAAAAATATAAAAAATTAAAAAAAAAAATTCATTAAAGTTAAAAGAAAAATTATATTACAAAAATAAAATGTTTATATTATATGTTTATATTATTTTTCAAAATTAATCAAGTCTAATTTAAAAACTTACATTTTCTTGTGATTGAGGTGGAGGTAAGGGTTTCCACAAAGAAAGTTCAGAACGAAAGTTTCCCCTCTTTATCTGTAAGAAATATAAAAAATATTAAACTCTAGTAAAAAATGACAAATATATTATATTTTTTGATAGTTATATTTGTTAATAGTTATTTATTATACAAGCGGATAAAGTGGCCGTTTAATGTGCTATTCGTTTAACCGCGCAAGCTGCGCAGCAGCGCGCACGTTAATATCAGCGAATTAAACGGACACTTTGTCCTGCAAGTGTAATACAACATTTTATTAGATTTTGCCTTATAAACCTTTCAATTTTAAAGATAAAAATATCAGTCATCAAATCGTCAGACATTTACAAATTTCATGATTATCCTGATTCCTATGCGGCGACCATGACAACGACTTGTTTTTTATAAACAAAGTTGGAAAAAAAATGTGTTGTGAGTGTCAAGTCGATTTCTGTGGAAAAAATTAATAAATAATTTGTGCATTATGATGTTCTTTCTGATGTGGAACGTTCGTTGGATGATAGTGATGCCATACTAATGGATAAACTGCCTTTTCAAAATCATCTGTTGCACTTTGTCCAAGTGCTGCGCTAAACACACAGTTATGAAAGAGTGAATTTCGAATGTGCAAACAGTTCAAAATCGCAACATTTGTATTGTTGTTCAAATACCGATTGAGGAACTTTAGAATTCGATGCGATAATCATTTTTATTGTAATTTTAAGTAAAAATATTGTATGTTTAAAACAGCGGATTATAATTTTTAAAATCGAATAATAGTAGATTATGTTATTAGGAGTAAAAGTGATTGTTTATGTGGAGAAGCTGAACGTTCATTTTGCCGAACGGAGTGAGGAAGAAACGTGAGTCCGGACCAACTTCCTAAATAAGGGTCTTTCAACATATTACTTGCTCCCCAACTAGTTAGTCTGGAACATTATTGCAACAAAGCGCAGTGTGAGCAGAAAGTTAGACTGGTGAATAGTTTTTTCCCCGAGTGTACCTCTTTTCCATCGTCAATATATCCTGGTGGAACCTTTCCCCTTACTCGTCACTAATAGCACCCAAATTTGGGGAATAAAAATTTAAATGAGAATGGAGAAAATGAATTTTAAGTGTTTTTCGGCGATTTTGTCGAATATACTTACATATGATATCTCAAAATGCCTAACTTTAAAATCTGACGTACTATGGAATTTTCTTTATCATTTTTGAGTTTAGCACATAGAATTGAACAAAAAATAACTGTTTTCTTCTCAGTCACCAAGTGCTTGTTGGCTAGTGTTATTAGACCAAGCAATTCCCCTTGGTCGTCACCAATTTGGGTTGTACCTAAAAAAGCAGACGCCTCAGATAAAACCAAATGGCGAATGGTTATTAACTATCGACGATTAAATACCAAAACAATCGACGATAAATATCCATTACCCAACATCACAGATCTCTTTGACAAACTAAGACGATGCCAATATTTTTTAACTCGCGAGCGGATATTATTAAAATTAAACGAAGGAGATGTCAAAAAAAAAACGGCTTTTACCACCAAAAAAGGTCATTACGAATTCCTTCGCATGCCCTTGGCTTAAAAAATGCACCCGCAATCTTTCAAAGAGTTATGGTCAACATTTTTCAGAAACCTAATGGTCCAATTTAGGAAACGGGCGGTTCAATTTAGGAAACCGGTTTCCTAATTTGGACCGATGACACGTTTTTTTTTTAAATTCAATTTTCACTATTATAAAATTTTTCAAAATTTAATAAATGGTAGAAGTATTATTTTAAAAATACACTTAGTCAGTTTCTTTTTTACTATATGTTTAATTTTTGTTGGCACTTTTTATATACCTATACTGAAAAATAAAAAAATGGTCCACATTCCTTCCTTCCCCTATTAACGTCCCAATCAGAGCCTATTATGTTTGAAGCAAACTGAGGACAGACTAGCAATGTTTGAAACAGCTGTATTAAATCACTGTTTGTTCATTAAGAACACACACTTTGTATCTCTCCTTACCATTTCTGAATAGCGTTCAATGTAGATTTGAACAGAATTAATTAGAGTAATTCTAGTAGAAGTAACTACTTCGGCAGGTAAACTACTTCACGTGAAAGTACTGCAGATACTGCAGATGAAGATGGCAATCAATGTCAATCAATGTCAAAATCAGAACGATGACGACTCGGTGTATGCTAAACAAAAACCAGAATTATTTGACTTCAACGAACTGAAGAAGAATTTGTATCAGATAATAACCTTTTAGATGTATTTTCTTTGTTTTTCGATGATACTTTTTTTGCAAAAATTGTCGAAGTTACCCAAGTTTATATTGTTTACGTGGACAATCGAACTGGAGTTACTGGAAGAAAACTAACATCAATGAACATTTTTTTTTGCATTATGCATTACGATGGAAAACATAAAAATGCCCAGCATAAAACATTATTGGTCAACACATCCTTTATTTTTTGGGTGATTCAAAAATATGTGGCATACTTTGAACCACGAATACCCTCTACAAAAGAGAATAGATAGCACAGTATTTATTGACCCACCTCCACCTCAAAAAATAGAAAAATTACAGCTTTCCAAAAATCGGTATGAAATAGTTATTTACAGTAAGAGTTCACGCGAATTGCGTATTCATCCACGAAGCGAAGCGAGTGGACGATGCAATCCGAGTGAATGAAAGCGACCTTACTCTCGAGTGCTGTATTTGATTTTGGTTGAAACCTCTATAAACCCTGAGACGGCATAGCATGGATTTTTCCTAGATCTCAAGTAAATTTGGCATCGCTGTACCCCACTTGTAGAGGGAAATGCGATATGTCATCTGTCGAAGCCAGCCAAGTCGCTGCACAAATGTATTTAGTTCATATTGAAGTTTTTTTGTTCTCTTCAGGTGCGCAAAAAATGTTACAGGCTTCTGTCAAAAGGCCTCTAACCGTCAAATTGAAAATCGTAAGGTACAGTGGCGGTCATTGAAAAGTAATACACGAGATTTTGACACATCCTCTCAAAATTTAAAAAATTGCATAATGTAATTTTTTCTTTTATTAAGGTCGTTATTGTTAGTGTCACTGAAAACGTCACTTTTGACAAATCAGTGGTGGACGCCGTCAGGAAAATTTAAAAATGCCAATTGTCGAATGTAGAAAAATCTATTACTATTACAAGATTAAGGGACAATGTCCCTATACGAGCCATCGCAGAAGAAATAAATGTGAACAAAATCACTGTCCTTAAAGCAAAGAAGGATTTTGAAGAGACTGGGACTATTGAACGAAAATTAGGCACTGGACGTTGTAAAATTTCAAATTGCGAACAGGACGTGGCATTAACTGATTTTCTTCGTGCCAATCCTTTTCAAACAGCGATTTATGCTAAAATAACGACTAATGTCCCAGGATCTACAAGGACCGCGAGAAGAAGAATACGTGAGACCGAACTCCGCAACAGGTCTGCGGCTAATAAACCTTTTTTAAATGGCACAAGTGATGATAGTTTGTCAAAACTGAATCAAATTTATTTTATAAATTGCACTTAGAACTGTCGAAACTGTCTGGCTACTGAGAAAACATTTTCTAATAGTTACCCAAGTAACATGTATAAAATTCAGCTTTTATACTATAACGTAAGTACAGTTACAATGTATTAAAGTTTAACACGTTCGCTGCCGCCCATAGTGAACCAATTCCAGACCCGTCTGGCCGTTTTCTGTTTTTATCAAATTTAGGTCCAAAAATGTTTAAAATTAAAAAATACCTGGTTAAATTTTTTTTTCGTTTTGTTTGGCTATTAAAAAAACAAAAATAAATGAGGCACATAGAAGGTATCTTACCGCACAAAGGCCAATTCTCATTTATTGCATTACTCTAACTTTGCCGTGTGGTTCAGCGTGTGTACCTCAGGCGTGGCACTAAGCGTGTCCCACGCGTCTGTTGTGTGCGAAACATGTGCTTTGACCCACTACGCACGAACTTGCGCAATGTTGATAAACTTGTTGAAACTAGCAATACTTACTTTTTTCTTGTTTGCAATTTTCACTTGGGCTAAAATGAGCTACGAAGAGGAACAAAATAAATTGCAAGCGATATGGGACGAGTTTACGTCCGATGAAGAAGAAGATCCCTTTGCACTTAGTGAAACTTCCGACGACTTTTCACCAAGTACAGAAAGTTCCTCAAGTGACAGTGAAAAACCCATTTATAAAAAAAATTGCAAACGGTCAAAAGAAAGATAGGTGATAAATCTCTAAAATGTCCCACAAAAAGAAGAAAGTCAATTACTTCGAAAAAGAAGAGGGCCACGAGTTCTTCTAATACGGATACTCCTCAACCCAGCACTTCTCGAAAATCTCCGGAAAATATCTCTTATGTTTCTAGTAAAGTTTTCATTTTGTAATTATGTCAGTCCAAAGTATGTTTTTAGCTGACAAACATGACAGAACAATTGATGAAGCAGTACTTCACCATCTGACCCAAACTGAAGATGCAACGATAAACGAAGACAATCACGAAGGAGAACCAAACTGGATGATAACACACGTTTGATTTTACGGAAAACACTTTTGATACTAGACAAGAAATTGCTGAAATTTATTTCAACAAAACACCAATTGATTTTTATAAACTATTTGTTACTGAAGAAACAAATCGATATGCTGATCAAATTGCAACAAAAATTGATAAACCACGAGCAAGGATACGGCAGTGGAAACCCACAAATAAAGACGAAATTCAACTTTTAATGGGATTACAACGTTTTCCTCGCATTACAGATTATTGGACTAAAAACAAAATTTACGCTTCTAACGTAGCAAAAGTTATGAGCCGAAATCGTTTTCAACTTCTTCTCAAGATGCTTCATTTTTCAAATAACGAAGAACCAGGCACTTCGAATCAAGAAAACGATCCTGGTTATAATAATCCAGAACCAGATAGAATTAAAAAAATTCGTCCACTAATAGAGATGATAATCGAACGATATTAGTTTGCTAAAACCCCATCTGAAAATATTTGCATTGATGAAACGCTGGTTCCATTTCGAGTAAGGTTAAAGTTTAGACAATATATCAAAAATAAGCGTCATCGATTTGGAATAAAATTGTATTGTAAACTGTGCTTGCAAAAAGGATACACATACAACTTCAGTATTTATTGTGGGAAAACAAAACGCAATGAAAATGAAAAAGACCATTTGCTTTCTACAAAAGTCGTCATGGATTTGATGAGCTCCGTTTTGGTTAAAGGTAGGACCTTATCAAAACCCTATTAAAAACGCATCTCTTTCAAGGGGTGTAGCTCGCTTACGTAACATTTTTTGATATACAGGGTGCGCCAGAACTCGCGCCCCAGAGAAAATTTTCAAGTAAGGTAAGATACCAGGAACATGAAAAAAATGTTTAAAAAATTCTATCTGTTAAAAAATATTGACATGTATTTTTTGACATTTGACATTTTTTATATCAATTTAATGATACTGATGAACTTGTATGTTTTTTTTTACAATTATTTAGTAAAGGGACAAAAATTTTGCCAATAAAAGCCACAAATAACATTGAACAGAATTACAATTTAGGATACAGCTTCCTTGTTTCCTCTTTTATTAGCCTATAGCAAAAAAACTTAGGAAATTATTTTTCCAACATAAATAAATAGAGTCAAAGTGCAAAATTTAAACCTTCATAACTTCGAAATTTTTATAGATAAAGTTTTTTTAACATTTTTTCCATGTTCCTGGTATCTTACCTTATATGGCATTTTTCTCTGGGGCGCGAGTTCTGGCGCACCCTGTATGTTCACAGGAAACTTTTGTCTTAAAATTGAATATTCTATCACCTGTTTAAGTTTGTAACAATAAAAACGGAACACTCTGTATATTATTTAAGTTAATTTTTATTGTTCCCATTGTCCTGGTTTTCTTTCTTGTAGAGTTAGTCACTTTACTTTTATGGCTTGTTTTCGAAATTCCCGTGCCGGATTTTTGTTGGCGGTTAACATACTTTCTAACCAGGGTTGCCAAATTGGGCTACTTTTCGCAATTTGGACTACCTAATCAAAGATTTTGCTTCTAAAAATTGTATCCAAAATAGTGTATGTGCATGCAAGTGTGAGGAGGGTAATATCGTGTTTTTATTGTAGGCGTACCTAGTGTCAACAGCTACAGTCAGAACAGACATAACGAAATGGAACCAAAGTTAACGACTTATGTACCCTTCCACTCAAGTATTAGAGGAATTGATCATCTGGTAGATCTTTTAAAAGAAAAAGTCTTAAAAAAGAATGTGAAACTGCATCGAACAAATTGTTCAGCTTTGTTAAACAATGTTATTTCTCCGGCTTTATTAGAAGAGGTGAAAAATCAACTTGGCACTTCGAGTTATTCATTAATTTTAGATGAATCAACAGACATATCTACTTACAAATATATGGATGTTTGTATAAAATTTTATAATCAAAAACACTGTACAATGAGAACAGATTATTTGGGTATGTTTGAGGTAGCATGAACTATTTCTCAAGATTTATATGAAGGTCTCAAAAGTTTTTTAAATTCAATTAAAATAGATGTTACAAAAATGATAGGAATAGCAGCTGAAGGAGCAAGCAATATGGTCGGTGCATATAATTCCTTATTCACATATTTAAAAAGAGATGTCCCAACATTACAATTAGTGCAGTGTGTTTGTCATTCAATCCATCTAGGCAGTGAAAAAGCCATTGAAGAACTACCAGATAATTTAGATTTTTTAGTCAGGGAAACTTACAGTTGGTTCACACATAGTTCTTTGTGGCAAATTAATTATCAAGCAATATATGCATTAATAAATGACGGGGTAGGTAAAACCTTTAAAAATTATTGCACCAGCAAGAACTCGTTGGCTCTTGTTTGGTGAATGTATTAACAGGATAATGTATCAGTGGATTCAAATACAAAAACATTTGGAATAGTTAAGACCAAAGAGAAATGCCATACTGCTCAATTACTTTGTGATATGTACCGAGATAATACAAATTAATACAAGCATATTGGGCACAGCCTCGTTCAATTGAATGAGACCTCCTCTGTTGTCGTTTATTATTAACGATAAATTTTCAGCCATATTGCCATTTGCTAACGCTCACTTTTGGCTACAGAATGTACCAAGTCGGTAATTAACGATAATCGGCAGTAAACGACGTCCTTCAGCGTTACAGAAGAGCCGCCTTAACCATTTAGTCTCGGGCTTGGGCACTAGCTTCTAGCAGGTCTAGCAGATAACCAGGTAAATACATATTTAGAATAAATTATGTACTTTACTTATAAATAAACAATAACTCAACACAGAAAAGGTAGCCAACAAAAAGCCGGTGGAGAAAACCAACTTAATCTCATTTTTTCAACCTTATTATTCATATTAACTTAATTTTTATAACAGACCAATTTTGCATGTATATCGTTTAAGTGGGACCATAATATAGACAAAAATATAAAAAAGAATGGTAGGAGATGCCAGCGTTCAAAAATTCGCTAAAACCCTCCAGAAACGATAATACAAAGGCATATTGTTTTTATAGTAAGCAGACACTTAACGGAAAATTAAGCGATTTAAGAAAACACACAAATAGCAAAAAACATAAAATTGCAGCAGAACCACTCTTGCCACAACGTCAACAAAAAAATAATTTCAAGCCAGTTGCACATAGTGGTGTTACTGAAGAACAGAAGGAAAGTAAATTGTGTTTGTATGTGGCCATGCGTAGTACAATGAATTCTATTGACCACTTAAGTAACACACATTTTTAAAATCATATTTCTTTGCATCGTACTAAGTGTAGTAACGTTAAAATTCTGGGGTCTATTTGTCCCAGAAATACATGTGTTACAGTTGTATCAGTATTTTTCAGAATTTATTTAGCATATGCACCCTTTATAACCTCATTTTAATAATTGTTTAGTCCATTAATTTCCAAAATATCGATTAGATCTCTAATGTGGAGCGATCTAAGGATCTAGAGGGTTCTTTTACGAGGCTAACTCGAGATCACCAAATTCGTCATCAATCGTGACCTTGGCTGACCTCCACTCGCAACATTCGTTTGATCGCCGTCGCCCCTTGAATACGTCCTCGGTCAGAGTTCCCTTCCGTCGAACACCACAGTGACGCTGAGCCTCAACAAGAAGAAAATTCTAACTCTGATGACTAAGTGGAAGAACAACTTAACCAAACAGAACTACGAGTATCTGAAAGGCCTGAGAAAGAAGAAGCTTCAAAAACAGATACAAATGCTACTGTTGCAACTGCTTCTGTATCTTGGAAAAAAGCGGATGTTACATTCAAATCAAAGCTAACAGTGCCAGATAAAAAAAAAGGAATTGTGAAGAATTTGAATTGAAGCGCACGTGAAATAGGTGTGTTTCTAAAATTATTTCCTCGCAGTTTATTCATGCACATAGCTGCATGTATAGTCGTCACCAGGAATATTTGGGATTGACGTATGCAAAGCTTTATTGAGGGTTAAGCAGCTTTGTGGTCGACCGTAATAATTTTTCACTGCTGGTGGTACTACCCAAAAGAGCCGTATTCAGGAATTTTCGTAGTAAGCTTTTAATTTATTACAGGCAAACATTTGGGAATTTATATATTAATTTAATATTAAAGTGATAATGTAGATTTCTAAAGAAACAATCTCAAAATATAGCTGAATATTAAAATTAATAAATTTTTCTTTTGATGAAAGCCCAAAAACAAATTTCTGTTACGGACCATCCCTTCGTACAAACCTTTGAAACGTGCCTGTCCTAGGAAATGCAAATTTGTTTATGGCATCTCTACCGCAAGCCCCATGAACCACCGTGGGGGGTAAGCGGCTTATTCTATAATGAGTCTCAAATATTGTTGGTAACGACTATACCAATGAGCGCATTCTGTTGTTTCATACATAAAAAAAATAAAAAACTAAATATAAGCGAGACTGACATGTACGAAATAATGATTGTGCTTGAGTGCACAATGATCATGTGTTTCAACAAGGTACCTTCAATCTCCCATTATTGGTCAAGCAATTACTCTTTAGGTAACAACTTCATTAAAAAAGAAAAAACCGTTGCATATTTTTACTTTTTGCCCATCCTCAAAAACCAGCTGATGCATCCAAAACGTATTACATTGAAGACGTAGTTTCATGTTTCAAGCATATATTTCAAAAGGCTAGAACAGAGAGTTCTAATCAATCAATCGATGAGTTGATGACGAAATTCAAAGAAAGATCTGCCCTGAAACAGTACGTTTTGGCAGAGATTACAATAAGCTTTGGCAGAGGTGCGATTCCTTTACTGGTTATACATATACAAGCTGTCCCAGAGCTCCGTATTTCTTCGATTACTGTGACAGTAATGAAGATAACGCAATGCGGTTTCTTTTGGACGATAGACATTCATTTTTTCTATGATCCAAAAATATTTTCGTCGTTATAGGTAATTCCTATATAGGGTGGCTCAACCAAATTATATATTTTCTTATGGAACACTTGGTGGCGCTTATTTGAGAGCTTTTAATTCTAAGAAAATCCAGATTAGGTTTTATGGATCTATCGTGGACCGTTTATCATTTATGAGCAATTTTATGAAAAAAAGAGCCATTTTTGAAAAATCGCAGTGGGTTTGCTAGAAATAAAAAATGAAGAAATTTAATTGCAACAATTTTTACAGAGTCTGGTCTTAAAATTATTATGGTTGAAATTCGGTCAACCTTTTGCAACTACTGCAGAGTGTTGACATTCGCAAAGTATCAAGTAACCTGATTTTTTCAAATAAAACATCCTGTATGTTACTACTTTATCGTGTAGAGCTAGATAATTATTTCATAAAACTTGCTATTATTGGCATCGTGCTTTACACAGTTGAGTTCAAATGTTGGTGTGGGCTAATGCACTACCAAAATATTTTTTAGTTTAGTGTCATCTATAGATATATTATTATTAGAGAGTTTTTGCAAATCGTAAAAAAGTTTAACGTATTACGACAAATGGCCGTTGGTAAGAAATCAAAAAATAAAACGTTTACGTTAACGTCTTTGAATTGACGGAATACGCCTTTTGCCATTGAAAGACGTACACACGACAATTAAATGACGTTGCCGTTAAGGTTAACGTTAAACTAAACGGTTTGCAAAAACTCTCTAATAACTGTCTTCAAATGGACGAGACAATAATCTTGAGTGTTACTAGTGACGTTACGAAATTTCGTAACAATTTACTTAGCACTAGTGATTTCACTGTAGGAAAATTCACAGGCGGATTGAAATTATTTTATACAAAATTATTACAAAATGATGAAGATCTAGAACACTTTTCTGATAACTTATTCAAAATTATTGATGATATCGTTGTTTATATTTCAGGTTTTGTTGTTAAAAAAGTTTTAAAAGCCTTAAACTGCTTGGTATGTACTCAGACACTGACTTCTAATTCCGACAAAAGCACTGCCAAATTTAGGCGTTTTGTGAGTAAAGGCAAATTAATAACACCTTCACAGATGTTTTAAAAATATGTACAGAGTCGGAAAAAGTTTGTCGGAAATTATTAGCCACAACCAGTAATCGACCCGCCTGTATAAATAATTTATTACCCCACCTGGTAAATGTTATTTTTGCAAATTTACCTTCAAATATGTTTGAAAGTTTAGATAATCATTTATTTGATTTTGAGACATTTGGTGCTAATCACATTACAGAATTGATTAAGCAAATAGCACTACAATATTTAAATCATCACATTAATAGAAAATACACAGCCAGTGAATTAGGTCCAAGCATCCGCCATCAGCTAAATAAAATTATACTTTTTAAGCACCGGTGAATTGCACATTTTGATTTTGGTTTATATTTTTTTAAATCAAGTCTTTCATATATCCTGTTTCCAACAACTGTTGTCAGTTTTCATAATTATATATTATATTTCTTTTATTTGGTGTTTTTTTTGCACTAAATTTGTCACTGGATTCTAGTGTAACACAGAATTCTTTTCTTATGTAAGTAATAAGTTTAAACTTGTGACCTATTTGACTCTAAAAAATGTAAATGCGGCGTTTGCTAAAGGTTTGAAATTGAATTTAGATATAATCTTTTAAAAAAATATCATCAAACGATTGCACAAGGGCTAAAACAATCTTATTAAAGCAAAAAAATGCTCTAAAATAATGCTTCGTACAAATATACAGAATGTTCCATTTTTATTGTTACAAATTTAACCAGGTGATAGAATATTCAATTTTAAGATAAAAGTTTCCTATAAACATATAGCGAAAAATTTATATAAGGCTCCCTTATAGCCTGAAAGGGGTGCATCTTTTAATGGACTTTTTCTAATATTTCAGAAACTATAG